AAACAGCTGTTTGGACAAAAAGATGAGAATGATCTTTAATTTAACTCATTCAGGTGACCAGTTAAAAAAAAAAAATACGAAAATCCCAAACTGTCGTTGTTTTTATTGTATTTGCCACTATTTTAGATTTTTCAATTCCTAGCAGCAAGGAACATTGCCCCTTTGAAAAGCAAGGCACAATTTGACTGCAGAGTGAGAATTTATGTTGGAAAATTACATGCCCATTTATTTCCTTTCTTGGCCTCTTCAACAATAGTGTTAGCTTGGATTACACTAAACCTTGACTATCTTTCTGAAATGAGTGCTAAATGATTAAGAACACAGTAGAGTGTTTTTTTAAAAACATACTATTATTGCTGGCATTCTGAGCTGTCTTGCAAATTCATGCTTAAAAATCTTATGCTTCCTTAAGGCCTCTGTAAAAGCAGGATATTATTGCTGTTTAGGGGAATTAACTAGCAAACATTAAACAAATGAGAGACCTACCTGCTATTTAAAGTTTCAACTGGCAACCAAAAGAGTAAGCTAAGATTTTACACTAGAGTATAACACAAGAACATCTTGATTAATGTTGGACTATAAACTATTTGGGTAGCTTATATTCACTACTCTTCAGGCCAGCTACATTCAAGCCAGCTCAGTTTTAATTTTGTTCTAACCTTGATCCTGTAACTCCAAAAGATATTTCTATTCCCTGTGTGATACCATCAGCTGTCCCAGATTCCATGTCATGTCAGCAAAATTAGCACAAGGTTTTCTGTTCTGCACAGCTCTGGCATACACTGTCTTGCTCCCTTCCAGGGATGCCATCGGCTAGCACAGCAATGACTCTCAACAGCTGCATGCATTTCTGAAATGTTTAATTTAGATGGATTTTAGTTAGCTCCATCAAGTAATTTGGTCCATGGGTGTTCAGGTGGTTTGTCGTAGATCTTTATAGCTATCTCATTTATTGATTGTATATCCTTGAAAGAAGTGATGAAGAATCACTGGAAGCTTCCAACTCTCCTCATTCCACGTTTTATGGAGAAATAATAACTTGTTTGATATTTGGGATTTTTAACTTCTGGTTAATTTTAGAAAATTGCTATGTAAGCAAATGCATCTGCAGTGTCTCCACTGATATAAACCCATGATGTTGTTAAAATGGCTTCTGTAGAAGCCTGGGAGGATTATTTGACAAATTTTGGTGGTCTCCATTGTTTTTTTTTTAAGCTTAGACTGTTCACTGGATGTGCATTTTGCTTTGCTTTGTTGAAAAACAAGTCCTTAAAAATAGCATGCAGTGTGGTTTGCAAACCCTAATGGCTTTGTTGAAGTGACAGCAAAATTAAGCTGGCCACTAAGAGGCTGTAATAAAGGAGTAGGAAGAGTCCATCTGCCTTCCCACACCAAATCAGATCTTGTTCAGTAGCACAGTATGTCATCGGACATAGAATTATGGAATGTTTGAGGTTAGAAGGGACCTCTGGAGATCATCTAGTCCATCCTGCCCACTCAGAGAAGGGTCGCCTAGAGCCAGTTGCCCAGAATCCTGTCCAGATGGCTTTTGAATATCTCCAAGGGTGAAGGCTCCACAAGCTCTCTGGGCAGTCTCTTCCATTGTTAGACCACTCTTACAGTAAAAAAGCTATTTCTTATGTGTTTTTTTTTTTTTTTTTTTCTTATGTTTTAATATTATTCTAATTCTGTTAACTACAAAAGCAATTCTGGCAAAGTTAAAATTAAGTTATTGCTTGCCTTAAAAAAAAAAATATTAAAAGAATCACTGCCTAGGAATTACCTAGTCTGCCTTAGGGCTTGCAACTTGTTTTTCACACGTGATGTTACATCACACTTCCTCACAGTTCAGAAGGCTATGAAACCACAAAATAGCCATCACCAGTTTGTATAGGAAATTATGCTACTAGTTCCTCTGCTGATAAATGAAATTGCAGGAGAAAGATTTATCCCAATCTCTGACCATACCAAATCCTGCAGACTTTTAATAAGAGCACTAATGGCAATACACTTAAACTGAGCTTCAAGTGTAGGTGTGTTTAACAGCACTTATTTTCTTGATTCCACATATTTATTTTAAGATATTTATTGTCTGACAGGTATTATTTAAACCCATTGCCTACTCTTCAAAAGGCTGTTCAGTATTAGTAATATCTTCCAGCTCCTCCTCCTCATCATCACAGTTGTGCTGACTTTCTTTTCTCTACCTTTACTCTGCAGGTAGTGACATTACAACATTTGAAGTGTACATCTACCAAGAACCTACAGGTCTGAAGCCTTAGTCTGAAACTCGATACATAGGAAAGTGACATTTTAATGGAGCTCTACTTCACGTAGGTGTATGTTATCCAGTAGAGAATAAAGCTCCTTGAGATTACGTACAGGAGCGACTGAAAGAAAGTGAGCAGTGCTCAAGGCAGCGTGTCAGTTCTCATTTAGAAAGAGACTGTCTCCTTATTATTTGAATTTACGTCTGTTTGGGAGTCACTTAGCACCCAAATATATAAACAATGCGTGTGTATATATACATATATACATGCACGCGTTCAAACATTCTAGGCTTAAATGATTAAATAATAAATCTGAGCAAAAGTTAAAATCCAGTAAGAGGGCACTGAGATATTGTATTAGAGGCATATACACATGAGAGTAATTATTATCTTAAGCTCTGGGTGCACATTTTAAATACTGCACCCTTGGACTGTGTAACTGCACCTTTTCCAAATTGAAAAAGTTCACAGCCAAAAGGCATGTATTGCTTAAAATCTTGTCAGAGGTAAATAAATAAAAAATAAGAGTGTGATAAGGTCAACATATCATGATGGATGCCTTCTCCTTGTACATTTGAAGTTATAGTTTGCAGGCTGCTTGAATATTTTCTAAATACCTATCAGCACCAGTCTGCACAGGGGAAAAGGAGGAAGATGAACAGATGGCAACATTTTAGTTTGTGGATTAAAGATAAATTTAGTGCCAAAAGAGAATTACTATTGTTTAAAATGAAAAGCTTTCTATTTATTCTTCCCTAACTCCAGACTTCTGGCAGTTCAATTTCTGAAAATCACATTGTTCTTAAAAGTGCTCGCTTTTTGAATCTAAGGGGTTTCAATTATTTTATTTATTTATTTTAGCACTGCAAATAAATTTGAAAAACTATCATGCAGATGGAACACCTAGTGCTGCATTAAGCATGGACTTCAAAGTTCAAGAACTGTCAGAAATAAAGGCCTGCCAATATTACTTACCTTTTCACTACATCCATCAGTGTCAAATACATAAGGTTAGCACAACTGTAAACGTTCCCAAGACTGAAGCCAACAGATCACTCTTAAAACAGGATTTTTACCAGCTGCATTGCATGAGAAAATTCTGTAACATATTTGCAATACGAAATACACTAAAAAGGGCAGTATAACTGTTAAAAACTAGTATACAATATTCAACAGCTATAGATGGGGCTTTTAGAGTTTTTTACGTACTAATGCTACTTGCTCATATTTTAGGTCAAAACTATGTGTGGTATAGAGGATAGTATAATACAAGTAGAGAGCAGTTTTACACTTTACAACTTCAAGATAACCTATTAAAATAAGACAAAAGTCTTGTGTTTTAATAGTCCGTTGGAATCATGTTTGGTTTTACCCAGTGAATCTTCAGGGAATAAGAATGTATATTTAAAAATATACTAGAACAGATTTTATCCAATCTCTTCTTTTGTGTTTCAGTGACAGTTTATACTTCAACTGAATGAGTAGTTGAGTAAAAACTGGTTTTTGTAGTCCCCAAACTGGACTTTAAAGGTTCTATTGTCATCTATAAGACCAGCAGAGCAAAGTCAAATGCTTGATGATTTTTTATTCTTTTTTTTTTTTTTTTTTTTTGGAAAGATCAGTAGCAGAACTAGTTATGTTAGCAGGAATCCAGAGAATAGTACCCCTGTGTTCACTATGTAAAATGTAAGACACTTAATCACACTTCTAGGAAAGGCAATATCTGGGTCACAGGATTTTTAACTAAATCTTAAAGTGTTTTCTAGAACAGTATAATCTGTGGCATGCCAGATATTTAATATGAAAATAAAACAAGTCACTTAATTTGAGGAAGCTACAGAGAGCTTTAATCTCCAATATAGGCTCTGGAACCAGTGAAAGTTTCTTCTGTCAGCCACCTGCTTTAAAAATGCATGTGTGCATGTGTAGACTAGGACACTTATATCCTGCCATCTTTTGTGGTGGAAGTTTGCGTCTTTAAGAGCATTCCATCCCAGGGAGGTATCAGGCAATCAGTAATTTCCCAGGACAACCAGAGGGCTCAAAAAGTGTTGCAACTTTTCCATAGTATAAAGAAACACACATGACCATTCCTGCCAAATTTTGTTAATTTAGAGAGACTATCCCTCATTTTAGCTTAGTTTTAAAGCACTTCCAAAATCTCCCACTGCTCTGATGAAGTACTGGACTGTGCGTCTTAATGAGGCATTAGGAAATGGCTAACTAATAACGTTTTTGAATTTGCAGTCGCTCCGGCTGGCATAGGTCGGCAGCCCGTGGTGTCGCACAGTGCGAAGCGGTGAGCAGGTAACCCGGGGGGAGGGAGGGAAGGGAGGGACCAGGGCGGGAGGGAGGGAGGGAGGGAGGGAGGCTCTCCGGCAGCCAGGCAGGGATGCTGCAGCCGGGGAGCACTGGTCCTGTCCCCTCAGCAGTGCCCATTTCCCCCCACCATGCTAGGCAGATTATCCCACGAAGCCATCCATCAAAGGACAGGGGGATACACATACCTCGAATATTTACGGTGCCTGCACTTGGAGAATGAGACAGTTCGTTCACATCTGCGAACGGGCCACTTTTAAAACATCAAAATAAACCATCTGGCTGCGCAACTGTTTCTAATTACTTCCCTGCCTAGACTGTAAACTTCGGGGTTTGGCACCAGCCTCCCTCCCAGAGCGCTGCCCAAATCCTGCTCCCAGGCAGCTAATCAGAGCCACTGCAGCACAGGGGGAGCAGCCCCGGAGCCGGGCTTGTCCAGCTCGCAGCTCTCCGCACGCCCGGCGGGTCTGTCCGGCCGTCTGTCCCGGCCGTCTGTCTGCGGGAGCATTCCAGGTGCGGCGGACGCACCATGTACGCCCCGGGGCTGCTGGGGCTGGTGGTGCTGCTGCTGGTCACCTCGCTGCCGGCCGGGCACCCCGCGCCGCCGGCCGGCCCCCCGGCCCTGCGGTAAGTGCGGCTCGGAAGCCTCCCGGGAGGGTTGCGACTGATTTATGAGATGTCAGGAGCGTGGAGGCTGGGGTCACGGAGGGAGCGGTGAAGTGGTTTTGCGAGCTCTTCCTCTGCCTGCTTAAAAGTGACACTGAGGGACGTGCGCTGGGTGGCTGGGAACCTCAGTAGGTGTTTGTGCAAACGGTGGGGGCTATTTGCAGTGATTTATTTCATGCCTGAGATAGGTACAGACTTTTAAATCAGGGAAGGGGGAAGAGCTGGATAGTGATGACTCCTTACACCCAAACCTCTAAATTGTGCTGCCCGAGTGGAGCAAGCGCCTCACCACAAAGCCTCTGTGTTCCTGCTCCTTGGTGCAGAGGCACAGCAAGGCACACTGCCCTTTGCTCTGCCCCTCCACCAGGACCAGCACCTGTCTGCCCTTAGAGCCAGCAGCTCCTTCACTCCAGAGCCTGCCAGATCTACTGTCTGAGAAGTACAGGTATTAGTTACCTGAATCTGCAGTATTCCCTAGCATGGTGAACATGGATTTTTGGCTTGGCCACTCCTTTGTTCTTTTTTCCTACCATCCAACTGCTGATGAGACAATGTGTGATTTTCCCTGTGTACGTCCTGAAAGTCCTGATCTCTGTGTGCTCCAGTGCACGGTACAATTTCATGGCAGAGCTGCAAATCTTCAGATCTAGCATCCGGATTCTGCTGACTTTACTAAAAACACAGCCACAAACTACACTATTGCATGGAAAGCAGTGATTACTTCAGTTTCCTTTTCCAATGAAAGCATAGATCCTATATATCTGACAACCAGAAGGATTACTTTGGCAAATGTATTTTATTAGAATCAACCATAGGTTTGCTTTGCAGTACCACGTATTCCCATCGTGCTACCCAGGTGTTTGGATGTATATGTCTTTTCTAAACCTTCTGGAATAATTCAGATCAAAATGTTTCACGGTAGATAATCAGACTACACATGTATATGCATATATACCAGATATGCATAATGAAAAAGAAGACGAGCCTAATGCAGTTAACAAGGTAAGTAAAATATAACAAAAGCATTTTGGCAGGTAGCAGTGAGATTTCTGATAGAAGAATATTGGGTGATTTGTGGCAAGTAGTAGTTCACAACCGTAACTGAAGTGGTGGCCTTGAAAATATTCTGGTGATCGTCTGAAGCCATGGCAGGGGGGTGGCTTCCCATGAGCCAAGCTCTCATCGGCCCTGGGCTCCAGCCCCTAGCTTTGGCCACAGCTTGTTCTGCTTGCTGTCCTCGGCAGGAGCGGTTTGGGTGGTGTTTCCTCGTGCTGGCTGTCCCGGACTGAGTCGGATCTGAGGTGCCGCGTCCCAGGGGGGAAGCTGTGCAGTGACCGAGGCAGATGTGAGTGTGGAGTCTGTGTCTGCCAAGTGACGGAGTCCGGCAAATACTACGGCCCGCTCTGCGAGTGCCACGACTGGGTGTGCGAGATCTATGACGGGAAGATCTGCGCAGGTAAGGAAACCACTGTGGTGACAGAATCGTAGAAAATCAAGAGTATATATTATAACCAGAGGTATGTTGGGAACACAGCACACTGATATAATAGAGACACGGCTACGTATGTGCACCTGAACCATGACTGAAGGGGATTGTGGGCACATCCAAGGATTTCAACAGATTAAAGGAGATGAGTCAAAGGCACCGTCTCTGCCATAAAATGAGACTTTGCCCAGAGCAGCTTCATCTGCAGCAGGGGCAAAAGCAGGAGCTGCTTTGGGTTGGAAGCTCTGCAAACTGTGTTTTGAATCTAATACGTGACACAATATTGCATGTGTTTTTCACATTATATTGCTGCATTTGAACTGTTTGCCTAATGATGGCATATGGTATCTACCAAGGCTTTAAACTGTCTCTGAACCATCAATTTTGTCTCGTAATTATTTTTTTTTCTTCTCCTGCTGTGAAGAAGAAGGTTTGCTGTAACAGGTAACACACTGAGGGACTATAAATATGAAAACTCTGTTTTTCTCTAAGTAATGATAATGCTTTCCAAATAGAGACTCAAAACAATGTAATTGTATTGTGGTTTCAGAGATTTCCCCACTGACACTGTATTCTTCAGTGACAGATGAAATAACATACATTTCTGGGACAGAATTTAGTCCCTGGCAGTTGTTGGAACATGTTGCTTGGTTTGCATCTAAACATTATCACTCTTTCATCTTTCCAGCTGTCTTTACTTAGGTTTCTGGGCTATTTCAGTCAGATTTTGGACTTTTTTTTTTTTTTTTTTTTTTTTTTTTTTTTTAAGCAGCTTAGTATAGGATTTTAGAAAAAAGCAGGGAGAAGAAGAAATGCCATCACATTCCTAAGGGGATTCAGCCTGGAGCTTGATGAAAGGGGCCAGAAGGGTACTTCATTTCTAGTATCCCTTCTTCAACAGCTTTACCAGATTCACATAAACGTGTCATCTTTTCAGGCCAAAAACTGCAATTAGGTCAATGGGAATGTTACAGGAATTCTCCTAGTAAGAGGACAATACAAATGCATTCCAGCAGTGGGTTTGGCAAATTTTGTAGGAAAAAAAGAGCAACTTATTTTAGCAGCTATGTATCTAAGAATAAGGAGTCCAATAATAACATGAAAAGATCAAGGATGGGATTATGAGAAAAATATTTTCATTTGGCACCTATGACTTTAGAGTTTTATGGAGAAAATGATTTATAGACTCTGTAGTTAGCAGTGTTAAGTCCAGTTACATAAGAAATATCGGCGGTCCACTGGTCATTTCAGTGCTTTGCTGTCCCAAACATGAATTTTCTGATTGCTGGTGTGATTTCAATATACTTGCTATTATTGCTGGGGTAGTTGTATAAACTGAAACTGAAAGCTCCTTCGAATTTAATATCATGCTACAAACCCCACTATTATGTTCATGTTAAGGTCACAAGCCGTGGCTGCAAATTTTGTCAGTGTTTTGGTGGAAGTGAGTGCTGACATGACAAACAAACCCAAGAGATTTCTAATAATATTTAGCTTCAGTGTGGCACTTCATGAAGGTGTTTGAAGATGTGAATGTTAAGTGATTAAATGTTTTTTTAGAAAACAACTTTTTGTAGTTGTCACCTTTTATAACCGGAGTATTGATGCTGCGCTACCACTGAGGTGCCAAATAATTTAAATTCACTCTTCTGGAAAAAAAGTAGTAAAGAATTCAGTACAGAGTCATGGTGAGGGAAACAGCTATGAAGGGCCTAGGGTTTTTGTTTCTTTGTTTTGTTTGGTTTTGTTTTTTTTTTTTTTGGCAGTGGTGCTGAAAGTCCAGCTGACTTTGTTGGAGTCCAGGGCTACCCAGGAGTGCAGGAGAGTGGCCGGGGGTAACTCCTTCAGGGATGGGACACGGGGTCTGGGTCCGAGTGGTGAAACTTCACCTGTGCTCCCTGCCCTCTTCATTTCCTCTCCATGTTTTCAGGCACTTTAAGTTGTGTGTATATGGGAGGAGGGGAGAATAGAAAAGGTGGTCAGATCTGGTATAACTGTCAGAAAACTCATCCTTATGTTGTACAAATAGCTTCTCTTCCCCTCCCTTCCCCCCCCCCCCCCCCCCCCCCACTTAGTGAACTTCATCTTTTGATGTTTCCTAACATTATGTGACTAAGCTGATTTCCCATGTATGACATACTTCCATTTCTTTGCATTTCTGAGCACATTTTTTGACCCAGTGATGAAATTGTTTCCTTTAGGTGAATAGCCATAATGTCTTACTGCAGTTTTACTCCTGTTTCTTGCTTTGTTTTTCTTTTTCCTATACTTATTTTGATATTTGATGTCCTATTTCATTGTGGGTCTCTCCTGATGAGTACAACAACAACTCCTGCCTTGTACCACATGCAGAACTTCACGACACTAATTGAATATTCCTCTAGAGAGCCATGATATTTGAGATTAAATCTGTATCAGACAAGCTGCTTTTCAAGCTGCCAGTGATGCCTTTTTCAAGTGACTGATGTCTAATCACTGGTGATGTTCATATTCAGAGTTGAACAGGCAGAATTGTTTGAGTCAGAAGTGCCAAAGGTAATTGTGTTTCCCTGCCAGTCAGTTCAGACATATTTCCACTTCCCTCTCCTGTCCCAAACTAAACAAAATACTTAGTTGCTCAATATGTAGCTCATTATCTTCAAGGCACTTTCTGGGTCAGATCCACCTTCTGGACCCGTCATTGGATAGCTATTCTGAAGAGGGAAGGCCTGAAGATAGAGAAGATGTTTATCTGTTTATGATTTGCTTTTTCTTACCATCTTATATAAGCAATGGGAAAGAGATTATGCTGAGTAGTGAAGAGCAGATGCAAATATCTCTGGCCTTTTACCCTCCCTTGAGACTTCTCTGCTGTATTTCCCTTTTACAATGTTTACAGGTGCTTTAGAGGGAATTCTGATCTTTTTTTTTTTGCCTTTTATCCCACTGAGAATGTTAAAGCAATAGGTGATCTCTCATGGAGGCAGAAACAAAGAAGAGAGAAATGAAGTGCTGTAGACTGAGTCACTGAGTCTCCTGTCCTCCTCAGCAGCCTTTTTATCTGTCTGCTGTGTGATAGGGTGTAGAGGAAAGAAGAGTAGAGTCCCAATACTGTCATTCTCTTTGCAATGTTGGTGACATCTTTATTTTGTTGTTTACTGATGGTCTTCAAGGAGATGAGCTAAAAGGAGGAAGACTGAATCAAACACTTAATCAAAACCCCAAAGGATTTATGCTTCATTCATAGCAGACAATATATTGGTTGCTATTTATTTGCAAATAGTAGATCTGACCTCAGATATCATCTATTGCCTCAGGCTTTCTTAGCATAAGTGGAGCCTGTGTTGTGTGTGAAGTGGAATGTGGCACTATTCCTATCACATCACAGCTTGATACCTATTTTTCTGTGGCTTTACAGTATAGAAAAAAATCCATTTTGGTGTGGGTTTTTTTTGTTTGTTTGTTTGGGGTTTTTTTGTGTTTGTTTTTTTTTTTTTTTTTTTTTTTTTTCCTAGTTAATCTTTTTTTACTGTGCCTGTCATTAATGAAGATAGAAAAAGTAAACTAAGCATAGACTTCCATGGCCAAGTGGAGTGGGAACACTCTAGATATTTCTAGAGAACAGACCATAGAAATTGCCAGCTGGGATGAAACAGTATGATTGCACTGCTCATAGTTGGTGAGATCAAGGGGCAGATATGATTCGGCGACAGCATAGAGACCAACGTTTAAAGAAGATTTCTCTTTGCTCAGACCTATATTAATTGTCTTTATTTTTTTTTTCCATAAAGATTTTATAAACATTTTTCTTCCTAACTATCTTCTACACCTACTGAATGACAGTGACTCTGTGTGATTTACCACTGCCATAAGCAGTTGCTAGAGAACTTTCATTGCCACTGATCAAGCCAGTGAAATATTTTTGTTTCTTTCTCCAAAACTATAGTTGCGGTAAGTGCTGTACCTATTTTAAGATTAGTTCAGCAATGTAATGGCAGTGTTAGTCGTAGATTTTCACAGCCAGAAGTGTTATCATAGTTATGTGAAGGACAGAAAGATATGAGTGCCATTATTTTCCACTCTGTAAGGCTTTAAACTATGCAGAGAGCACAAGTGGAAAATTAAATTGACAAGAAGTGGTTGCAGAGACACAAGATAAGTCCGAATTAAAGTATTGTTGTAATACGTAGTTATGCATCCATGTGAGTTTATTGGATATGTGGCCCTATATATTGGTTGGAGAGAGTTAGGAAATTGAGAATGGAATTTGGAGAACATTTTGACCTGAGGACTGCTCTTTGCACAAAAGCTGAATAGTGTTTTTAGGCAGAGCTATCTTAGCTGAGTTGGAAATGTTCTTACAACTGTACCTTTGTATTTGTACTGAAGGGAGGTCTGACACACTGATTTTTCATTGAGCAGCATTTCTTGCTAAAAGCGTGAAGAAAAGCCGGTCTGTGACCTGCATTGATTGCCATTTGATCTGGAGTGAAATTCAAAGCCCTGGACTTTGAGAACAGGTGTAAACCTCTTCTCGGTCAGAGGCCGTGTTTGCAAAGATTCAGCTGTGGCACATGTGGTCATTGGAGACACAGCCTCCTAAAAAGACCAAGTTAAAAATAGGGCAGGAGGCTACTGATGAAAATGAAGGTTACAGTTCTTGTCTGACCCGGCTTGCTTTAGTCTGGATTTCAGAACTTGGCTTAAGTGACATTTCCTCCTGGAGTAGGGGTTTGTAGGTCTGATAATAGCATAGGTATTCATCTCAAAACAGGTCCCCCAGATTCTAGTAGAAGTGAAACTGTGATAGCATAGACCTCATTGCAGCCTCCTTGTGTTGCCAAGTGCACGAGGTCCTGGCAGATTTACAAAACACAAGTTAAAAGCCTGTACTATTCTCAGTTTTATGCTGTTGGTACCTGATCTGGGTAAACTCAAGCAGCCTTTGATACATCTACAATTGTTGTAGTTCCTAGTGAAGTGTGTACATT